AGTTGGCGAGAGCTCTGCGTGAATTGCTGGAGAAGCTACCCTTTCACTGCAGTAGATATCCCTAAATTTGAGTAACACACGTTTCTAACCAAAGCATGAATGAACATCTAATTATAGATTTAAATTTTCGTGCGATATAATAACTTCCCACATATTGTGTTATATGCTCCTACGGACATGTGATAGAACTGTCGGTTATTACCGGACACCAAGTGTCTCTGTGACAAAAAAATGATTGTGTCTGTGTTTGCTGTTGACCTTAGTCCCCTATCTTTGGTCATATCAAGGCAAGGACTTCGGGAGAAAGATTACTTGTCATTTAACTTCACTGAAAGACGGGCAGGCCAAACCGACGCGTATTGTCGTGCGACTTTGTCCTTGTGTCCGAGATTTTGGTGTTTATCTACATCAGGTAATGCTGTCTCGTCTCACTACACTTATTGTGATGGTCGGCTTCCTGTACGGAACTAGATCCACGAATACATACACTTACGATTTTCCGCCGATAGCTGGAAGAATAAACGTCCCTTAATGCAGGTGGTGTATCATCGGGAAAAGACAAATGATACTACTGTTTAAGTTTAAGGAACAGAATGAAAACATTTGTAGTGGACATGCCCTATGTTCTTGGAAAAATAGTTCTGTCAGATTCGACAAATGATCTAGGAAAAGTTAACACAGGCACATAAAGTCAGAAACAACCTGAGAGTAAATGCAGCCAGAGACAGTGCGTTCTATCAAGGCCATATTGATATGTGTATTGTATGTCAAAGAACGTGGTATAAATGACATATCACATAATGCAATAATATATAAGACCGGTTTGTTAACTGAGGATGAAATCTGGGACCAGACGTACCAACAATTCCACGTCTCTAAAGCTCAGTATAACCCTTTCTACAGCCCAGGAATGACTGTCTGTACATCAGCTGTACTGTGTCGTATTCCATCTGCATAATGTGTGACTGCCAAGTTCGTTAAAGTGGGAAGCTGTACATAAGCTGGAGCCAGTTATCCTACCAGAACGATGTGTGCGTCTTACACTAGTGCATTCCTCACAACTATCTATTTCATATGGTGGCTGCGTCTCGTGATATCGCTTTCTCGCTTTCTCGCCCCCGAATTTTAAGGCGAGAAATCAATGCCCCTAATCAGCCACCATAATTTCAGACATTTTGCAAAAGTGTGATAATATTTCTTCCAGAATTATATACTCTTCAACAAAAAGAAACTTGACATAGGACAAATTTGAATTTTTGGAAAATATTTGACACAAACCAATCCATGCTGAATCCCAGCATGTGGGGGAATGGTTGCCGACGACAAAACGTTTGAAAAAAGAAACGTTAAACAAAAAACGTAACGTTACACTCACGTCTGTAGTGAATCGCTAAAACGCACCCTAAATGAAATGCACGAGCATAATGAAATTGTGTATCACCCCGAGCTGAAGCCTATGAATGTAGGCTTTTAAAGGTCACATCAGGGACACCCACATGCATTGCTTTAAGCCACTATAGACGACACGAGAATGAAAAGACTGACAGAAACTCAACGACACAACGCCATCGGCCGTTTATATGCGCCGAATCTCCGACCAGACAGTGCGCAATTGGCTAAGGAAAGCCAGACTTTTTGCCAGAAGACCAGTTCAACGTCACGTCGTTCCCTACATCAACGTCAACGGTTGATCTTTGGAGCATGACAATGCTCGACCTCACGTTGCACGTGTTTGACATGCCTTCCTCCAGCAAAACAATGTTCAGTTGTTACCTTGGCCTTCTCGATCTCCGGATTTGTCCCCCATTGAACATCTATGGGATACTCTTGATCGACGCTTGCGCCAGCGTAATCGGCCACCTCAGACACTACAAGAACTGCACACAGCACTTCAGCAAGAGTATCAAAACATTCCTCAAGACTGCGTTCGGCATCTCTTTTCTTCTTTGGGTCACCGCTGCCAAGCTGTTATCGATGCTCATGGTGGTCACACAAGGTACTGACATTTTACTCTGACCAAGTTGCTTTAATAGCCCTCTGTGGTTTTACCAAACACTTTCTGGAAATTTGTAAAGTGATGATTTTACGGTAACTGAGCAATGATGTCATGTTTGAATCAGTTATATGCACTCAGTAAGTAAACTCCAAAACACCATGTCAAGTTGGTTTTTTTTTAAGAGTATATATATTTGGTTTGTCCAATGGACACAAATAACAATGTCTGGCTCACCCGAAACTTCACGTTGTCAATAAAGATTACCATTTCCATGTACAACCGGATTGAGAGATAAGTGTATAACTGGTCGAAGTGTTGCAATGCACTTTCACGTAGATGTTAAATGAGTTTCTACCAGGTATATCTTGGAACGTCGTGGGAAACGTCTGTAATATAATGGTAATCAATCATTTTGTGGGTTACACAACAGAACACCTCATATACATTACCTAAACAATTTAATCACCTATGGCGCCTAGAAATGTATGAAGCCATGTTATCGCGGATGTTGTTGGCGACCACCATTGTGGTTTGTGTATCATATATTTGTAACTGTAACTTCTCTCGACGTGATATACCAAATGTATTACAGTTTGAGGTACCTATATCAGGAGAGACATGATCATGAAAACGTATAATTTGACAAGAGCTTTTTGCTGTGCAATCTGACATTGAGGAGTCCTATGTCAGTGCACTTGTCTGACATATAGGCATGCAAGTCTTGTTACGTCTGCGAAAGTATGCTTTCATCATTGGGTAAAAGGACATATGTATAAAGGAAAGCCAATTAATGACATAACACATATACTCTTATAAACAGAAAAGAAACGCAGACGAAAAAAATAATGAAATGTATTAAGTGTACATATTTCAGTGTACATAATTCGATTAAGTTTGAACATAGATGACCGAAATTCGACACAAGGATGAACATATGTGTTGTTCTCATTGTCAGAATTAATTCAGTTCACTCACTGCACATGTGTAGACACAAGAGGGCATTCAGGTGAGTACCTGGTGATACCACACCTTGCAGCCGTCACTGCTCGACACCGCCATGGTGTCGTCGTATGTTTGCTTGGGGAATTCTTCACCACTCCTCCTACAACGTATTGGCAAGTTCTGCAAGTGTCTGAGGACGATGGTGACCTTTACGGATCAAGTTCGTCCCATAGATACTCAATCGGGTTCAGATCAGGCCATTTGGAGGGCCAGGGAAGGACATTGACATTTGCATTGGCGAGATAAGCCCCTGTTATACGAGCTGTGTGGGGTCGAGCGTTGCGTAGAAACAGCTTCCTCCCCCTGTACCCTGTTGCACCATTGGGCACGTCTTTGTCGGTGTAGTCGTTTCAGGACAGGTCCAACTTTTGGTCGATATGCTCGAATTCCCACTTCTCTCAGACGATTTTTGATGGTTTGGGAGGAAATTCTTCGAAGACCAGGCACCTGTCCTGCAGTGTCCGTTGCTATAGCAAATCGGTGACGTAAGTGAAAGACCCGGATGAATCGGGTCACGGGTCAGGAGTGGTCACTCTTGGTCTGCCACTTCTGGGCCGAATTGAAGCTGGTATATCGATGCCATAATCGAGATGTGGTGCAGTGGTGGACGTTAGAGTGTCTTGCAACGGCAGACTGGGGACTCCCCTGCTTCCAAAGGCCAATGGCGTTTGGTCAGTAGCAATCAATCTTGGCATTATTGTTAGCTTCGTTTACATCGTCAATTTCGTAATGAAATAATGAATTTGGTTTGGCCTTTTATAGTGGATGCCTCCACTCATTTTTCCGATATATGACACGTGCATTACGTGGAAAACGTTTTCTGCATGCACATTTCATGTATCGTTTTAATTTTTTATGACAAACGTTCACAAACACATTATGGGATACGTTTTGTGCGCACTACACAACAACCACGATATGATTAACGGAATGCAAACATAGGAATTGTCTTAATGCTGTCAAAATATATCGCATTGTGCGTTTCTTTTTTCATGAAGAGTGTACAGTATCTCCAAAACGTCAGCTTTACTGAGTAGGTCATGAACCACAGAATTCCCCCTGCACCATCCCTACACCACCTTCTTGGTCTTCCAGCTGTGGCAGCGTCGAATTTCCAAGGTCATGGCTGACACCAACATCTGGACCTGACAACTAATCTGAAATAAGAATCAATTTGAGACTTCTATGGTGATCAAGAAGTACACAGGAATCCGATACTACCGGTGTATTGTCCAGTATGTGTTCAAGACAGCTGGCCATATAAGTAAGGCTTACCCCACTGAGCGGCACATGTGACACTCAGAACAGCCCGTCATCTGACAGACATCACAGTGACCCCTTCAGAAACAGCCCAGCTGGTATCCTCCACACTTGACTGTAGACATGACCCGTGTTGATTAGAGGAGGAAATGAGAGTCGTGCAGCCGGACTTGGCAACTGGTATTGCTGTGATGAACGCTATGTAATAGTCTTCCCATCCTGCTGGTATGGTTAGTTTGGTTTCGTATATACCTACCTAGTAAGCCACCTAGCTACCAAGCTACATACCCAAGCATCTACCCTGGACCAGACAATCCTAGGTTATTTTACCCACCACCAAGATAATCTGCCTCACCTGCAAAGCCACCCACCTGACCTGGCTACCCATGTGTTTACCTGCTCAGGCTGCCTGCTTCCCACAAAGCTACCCACCCACCTGTCCACCCACCTACCAAGCCTGTTGCTACACTCCAGCCACTTCACTCTGGCCCTGCCTACCTGCCCAGGCTCTGTTTGGCTTCCTGCTACACTGAGCTACTCCATTTGCACTGGCTGCCTTTGTCTGGCTACCCACCAGCTACCTGGCTACCAAGCTACATACTGGAGCCATCCAGCTATCTACCTACCACAGCCAGGCTGCCAAGCCACCCACCTACCTACCTCAAGCTGCCCACCTGCCAAGCTACTCCACCCACAAGCTACCTCCCACCCATTGAAGCTACCCATCTACCCACCAGGCTAAATGCCTGCCAGGCTGTCCTACCTACCTGCCAAGCCGGCTGCCTGCCTGCCTGCCAGGCTACCTGCCTGCCTGCCAGGCTGCCTGCCGGCTGCCTGCCTGCCTGCCAGGCTGCCTGCCTGCCAAGCTAGGCTGCCTGCCTGCCTTTCCAGCCCAGGCTGCCTGCCTGCCTGCCAGGCTGCCTACCTTAAGGGCTGCCTGCCTGCCCGCTGGGCTGCCTGCCTGCCCGCCCAGGCTGCCTGCCTACTGCCAAGCTACCACACCTGCCCATGCTGCCCATGCCAGGCTGCCTGCCTGCCTGCCAGGCTGCCTGCCCACGCCTGCCAGCTGCCTGCCTGCCTCGCCAGGCTGCCTGCCTGCCAAGCTCACTGCCTGCCTGCCAAGCTGCCTACCTTATACCTACCACCAAGCCAAGCTACCAAGCTACCTACCTCGCCAAGCTACCACCACCACCCGGGTTACCTACCTACCTGGCTTTACCCACCACCAAACTACCTACCACCACCAAGCTACCTACCTACCAACTAAGCTCCTACCTACCTACCCATAAGCTACCTACCTACCTACCACCTACCTACCTACCTACCTACCAAGCTTCTCTACCTACCTACCTACCAAGCTACCTGCCTGGCTACCCACCAAGCTACTGGACCCACCACCTACCTACCCACCTGTGGCTACCTACCTACCAAGCTTCCTACCACCTACCTGCTACCGACTGCCACCTACCACCAAGCCTACCACCTACCAAGCTTCACACCCACCTGCCTACCTACACTACCTACCTGCACCTGCCTACCTACCCACCTGCCAAGCTACCTACCTACTTGGCTGACCTGCCTCAGGCTACCTGCCCACCATGGGGCTACCTTGCCTACCTGCCTGTAGGCTACCTGCCCACCTAAGCTAGGCTACTCCACTCACTACACTACCTAGGCTGCCTGCCTGCCTGCCTGCCCCTTAGGCTACCTGCCTGCTGGGCTTTCCTGCAGGCCTACCTGCCTGCCAAGCGACTCCCACCCCACCATACTTTCCTGCCTGCCTACTCAAGCCTGCCTGCCTGCCTTGTGCCTGCCTGCCTGCCAAGCACTGCCTGCCTGCCTGGCTACTGCCTGCTCTGCCTTGAGGCCTGCCTGCCTGCCCGCCCACCAGGCTGCCTGAGCCAGGGGTTGCCTGCCTACCAAGCTACCTACCTGCCTGCCTGCCAGGCTGCCTGCCTGCCTGCTGGGCTGCCAAGCTGCCTGCCTTGGGCTGCCTGCCTGCCTGCACCGCCAAGGCTAGCTGGCCAAGCTGCCTGCCTGCCAGGCTGCCTGCCTTCCACCAAGCTGCCTGTTCACTAAGCTCATGGGAGTTAATTGGCTGTCGGTGCTTGTTGTGTGTCTTGCGGTTAGCTACCTTAGTCATATGGGACATCCTGACTACCGGGTTTCTGGCAGTACTATAGACTAAAGATATGTATACAGATGATTCAATATATGTATACAAATAGTTCCATACATGCATGATATGGACTAAAGATATGTATACAGATGATTCAATATATGTATACAAATAGTTCCATACATGCATGATATGGACTAAAGATATGTACACAGATGATTCAATACATGTATACAAATAGTTCCATACATGCATGATATGGACTAAAGATATGTATACAGATGATTCAATATATGTATACAAATAGTTCCATACATGCATGATATGGACTAAAGATATGCATACAGATGATTCAATACATGTATACAAATAGTTCCATACATGCATGATATGGACTAAAGATATGTATACAGATGATTCAATATATGTATACAAATGGTTCCATACATGCATGATATGGACTAAATATATGTATACAGATGATTCAATATATGTATACAAATAGTTCCATACATGCATGATATGGACTAAAGATATGTATACAGATGATTCAATACATGTATACAAATAGTTCCATACATGCATGATATGGACTAAAGATATGCATACAGATGATTCAATTCAACAAATGCATACTATGAACTAATAAAGGTATGTATACATACAGATGATTCAATGTATACTATGGACAAATGATATGTTTACAAGTGATTCAAGTAAACACATGCATATTACGGATTAAATATATGCATACAGATCAGTCAATACTATGGACTAAAGATATACATAGACGTGATTCAATTCAATACATGCATACTATGGACTAAAGATATGCATACACGTGATTCAATTAAACACATGCATGTTACGGCCTAGATATACGTCAATACATGCATAGTATGGACTAAAGAGAGTGAATTAAAGTCCAGGGTTCCAACCAATACACAAATGGGGTATGGCCATGTTGCCTTATCAGAGCTGTCTTTCGATGCAAAGCAAAGCAGTATTCAAATACATTCCATGAAATATTGATGTATTTAGGCCATAGTTCTAAAGAAGTATGCTACGAAGACTAATTGATGCAGACAGTATACAAAACATACATTTTGAAAATATATTTCTCTTTTTGAAATCAAGTCTTCTAGTAGAGGAAACGGGTTTCATAATATATTATTGTACCCAGGCAGGCAGTAAAAATGACCCCTTCCCCACTCCCCTGACCCCCTGGTGCGCAGGATTAGGGCTGTACACTTATTTCATGCTGACATCACCATGCTGAACATTTTATTCTCCCTGAAGGTGGTGATGTTTGTTTAGCATGTTTATTATCAGTATCAACATCTTAACCAGTTACTACTACACGTGCTTCAAAATATCGAGTAAAAGGGATGTTGGAAATAACTATATTATAGTATAAGGCACATGTTTATTCTAGTTGTAAATTACACACCCGTAGCCGATACAGTCCTTGGCCCCGTTTCACAAAGCTATCGTAGGGCTACGACTGTCGTAAGTCTATGATACAGTATAGGAAGTTCGATTGCTACGAGAAAAGTTACGAGATCTTAGGCTTACGAGAGCTTTGTGAAACGGGACCCTGTCACTCACGGGCAGATATGATCTGCACTGTTGAGGAGAAGCCAATTGGAAACCCATGGGAATTATTAAAGTTTGCACTCCGGCCTTTACAATCAATAGTCACATTTGCAGTATTTCAGCCATAGCGTTACTGCAACAAATTATGCATTCACAATACACAAAGTTGGAGTATAAAACGACGAAGGACAGTAAAACAACTAGACTATCAAAGATATAGCTTTGCATCTGAAGGTAAATCATCATAATAAGGACTTTGGAACTAAGGATCTGTATACAGATGATGCAACACATGCATACTATGGACTAAAGCCATGTTTACACGTGATTCAATACATGCATACCATGGACTAAAGCTATGTTTACACGTGATTCAATACATGCATACCATGGACTAAAGCTATGTTTACACGTGATTCAATACATGCATACTATGGACTAAAGCTATGTTTACACGTGATTCAATACATGCACACTATGGACTAAAGCTATGTTTACACGTGATTCAATACATGCATACTATGGACTAAAGCTATGTTTACACGTGATTCAATACATGCACACTATGGACTAAAGCTATGTTTACACGTGATTCAATACATGCACACTATGGACTAAAGCTATGTTTACACGTGATTCAATACATGCACACTATGGACTAAAGCTATGTTTACACGTGATTCAATACATGCATACTATGGACTAAAGCTATGTTTACACGTGATTCAATACATGCACACTATGGACTAAAGCTATGTTTACACGTGATTCAATACATGCACACTATGGACTAAAGCTATGTTTACACGTGATTCAATACATGCATACTATGGACTAAAAGCTATGTTTACACGTGATTCAATACATGCATACCATGGACTAAAGACTATGTTTACACGTGATTCAATACATGCACACTATGGACTAAAGCTATGTTTACACGTGATTCAATACATGCACACTATGGACTAAAGCTATGTTTACACGTGATTCAATACATGCATACTATGGACTAAAGCTATGTTTACACGTGATTCAATACATGCACACTATGGACTAAAGCTATGTTTACACGTGATTCAATACATGCATACTATGGACTAAAGCTATGTTTACACGTGATTCAATACATGCATACTATGGACTAAAGCTATGTTTACACGTGATTCAATACATGCACACTATGGACTAAAGCTATGTTTACACGTGATTCAATACATGCACACTATGGACTATGGACTAAAGCTATAAAGCTTACACGTGATTCAATACATGCACACTATGGACTAAAGCTATGTTTACACGTGATTCAATACATGCACACTATGGACTAAAGCTATGTATACAATCCAATACATGCATACTATGGACTAAAATATGTATATACGTGATTCAATACATGCACACTATGGACTAAAGCTATGTATACACGTGATTCAATACATGCACACCATGGACTAAAGCTATGTTTACACGTGATTCAAAACATGCATACTATGGACTAAAGCTATGTTTACACGTGATTCAATACATGCACACTATGGAATGAAGCCATGTGATTAAGCCATGTTTATACGTGATTCAATACATGCACACTATGGACTAAAGCTATGTTTACACGTGATTCAATACATGCATACTATGGACTAAAGCTATTTTTACACATGATTCAATACATGCATACTATGGAATAAAGCTATGTTTACACGTGATTCAATACATGCATACCATGGACTAAAGCTATGTTTACACGTGATTCAATACATGCACACTATGGACTAAAGCTATGTTTACACGTGATTCAATACATGCACACTATGGACTAAAGCTATATTTACACGTGATTCAATACATGCATACCATGGACTAAAGCTATGTTTACACGTGATTCAATACATGCACACTATGGACTAAAGCTATGTTTACACGTGATTCAATACATGCATACTGTGGACTAAAGCTATGTTTACACGTGATTCAATACATGCACACTATGGACTAAAGCTATGTTTACACGTGATTCAATACATGCACACTATGGACTAAAGCTATGTATACACGTGATTCAATACATGCATACTATGGACTAAAATATGTATACACGTGATTCAATACATGCACACTATGGACTAAAGCTATGTATACACGTGATTCAATACATGCACACCATCGACTAAAGCTATGTTTACACGTGATTCAAAAAATGCATACTATGGACTAAAGCTATGTTTACACGTGATTCAATACATGCACACTATGGACTAAAGCTATGTTTACACGTGATTCAAAACATGCATACTATGGACTAAAGCTATGTTTACACGTGATTCAATACATGCATACTATGGACTAAAGCTATGTTTACACGTGATTCAATACATGCACACTATGGACTAAAGCTATGTTTACACGTGATTCAATACATGCACACTATGGACTAAAGCTATGTTTACACGTGATTCAATACATGCACACTATGGACTAAAGCTATGTTTACACGTAATTCAATACATGCATACTGTGGACTAAAGCTGTGTTTACACGTGATTCAATACATGCACACTATGGACTAAAGCTATGTTTACACGTGATTCAATACATGCATACTGTGGACTAAAGCTATGTTTACACGTGATTCAATACATGCACACTATGGACTAAAGCTATGTTTACACGTGATTCAATACATGCATACTGTGGACTAAAGCTATGTTTACACGTGATTCAATACATGCACACTATGGACTAAAGCTATGTTTACACGTGATTCAATACATGCACACTATGGACTAAAGCTATGTTTACACGTGATTCAATACATGCACACTATGGACTAAAGCTATGTATACACGTGATTCAATACATGCATACTATGGACTAAAATATGTATACACGTGATTCAATACATGCACACTATGGACTAAAGCTATGTATACACGTGATTCAATACATGCACACCATCGACTAAAGCTATGTTTACACGTGATTCAAAAAATGCATACTATGGACTAAAGCTATGTTTACACGTGATTCAATACATGCACACTATGGACTAAAGCTATGTTTACACGTGATTCAAAAAATGCATACTATGGACTAAAGCTATGTTTACACGTGATTCAATACATGCACACTATGGACTAAAGCTATGTTTACACGTGATTCAAAACATGCATACTATGGACTAAAGCTATGTTTACACGTGATTCAATACATGCACACTATGGACTAAAGCTATGTTTACACGTGATTCAATACATGCACACTATGGACTAAAGCTTTTTTTACACATGATTCAATACATGCATACCATGGACTAATGATAAACATATAGAATGATTCAACCGCGTACACTATGAACTTAATATCAATACAGAGTATTCAATACATGGGTTAAGTTTACCTGTACAAAGGAATCAATGGATGCAACATGTGGGTTTACTAAATGATCATACGGGACCTGCTTGGAACACGTCATGGGTTTCATATACAAATAGATCGACCGTCAATATCTGGCCTTGAAACAGCACATGTTTAGTAATATTGAACTGTACACATAGATTCAATATATCACACTTTGAACATTTAGAAATAAGCTGTATATGGATTGGAGGATTGTTGATTTTCAGTTCCGTACAGCAGAATGGAAAAAAGGAAACAAAACATCAGCAAAAAACATTGCAATACAACACGTGTACAATTGTATATGACAGATTCGTCATAGATAATCCGATATGTATAAACGGACGGGCAATTTGTTACAAGACGTATACACTGAGGAATTTGTAGTGACAGGAATTTCCCCACGAACAAACCACTGGAGAAAATACGTGAGTTGACAACATGGATGCAGCTGTATCTCTAACGGTATGAACTACCGACACTTGTCAGGAACACGTGAGGCCCACACACAATCAATTTATGCAGGAAGGGACATCGCGGAATAGAACAGTGATTCAGATTCTGTAACACGTGCAGGTAGGTAAGGTGTGTTCATACACCTGTAGTCATCTCCACACCACGATGTGCAGGTAGGTTTAATGTGTAAATACACCTGTAGTCATCTCCACACCACCGCGTGCAGGTAGGTTTAATATGTAAATACACCTGTAGTCATCTCCACACCACCGCGTGCAGGTAGGTTTATTGTGTAAATACACCTATAGTCATCTCCACACCACCATGTGCAGGTAGGTTTATTGTGTAAATACACCTATAGTCATCTCCACACCACCGTGTGCAGGTAGGTTTATTGTGTAAATACACCTATAGTCATCTCCACACCACCATGTGCAGGTAGGTTTATTGTGTAAATACACCTATAGTCATCTCCACACCACCGTGTGCAGGTAGGTTTATTGTGTAAATACACCTATAGTCATCTCCACACCACCATGTGCAGGTAGGTTTATTGTGTAAATACACCTATAGTCATCTCCACACCACCATGTGCAGGTAGGTTTATTGTGTAAATACACCTATAGTCATCTCCACACCACCGTGTGCAGGTAGGTTTATTGTGTAAATACACCTATAGTCATCTCCACACCACCATGTGCAGGTAGGTTTATTGTGTAAATACACCTATAGTCATCTCCACACCACCGTGTGCAGGTAGGTTTATTGTGTAAATACACCTGTAGTCATCTCCACACCACGATGTGCAGGTAGGTTTATTGTGTAAATACACCTATAGTCATCTCCACACCACCATGTGCAGGTAGGTTTATTGTGTAAATACACCTATAGTCATCTCCACACCACCGTGTGCAGGTAGGTTTATTGTGTAAATACACCTATAGTCATCTCCACACCACCATGTGCAGGTAGGTTTATTGTGTAAATACACCTATAGTCATCTCCACACCACCATGTGCAGGTAGGTTTATTGTGTAAATACACCTATAGTCATCTCCACACCACCATGTGCAGGTAGGTTTATTGTGTAAATACACCTATAGTCATCTCCACACCACCATGTGCAGGTAGGTTTATTGTGTAAATACACCTATAGTCATCTCCACACCACCATGTGCAGGTAGGTTTATTGTGTAAATACACCTGTAGTCATCTCCACACCACCGTGTGCAGGTAGGTTTATTGTGTAAATACACCTATAGTCATCTCCACCCACCATGTGCAGGTAGGTTTATTGTGTAAATACACCTATAGTCATCTCCACACCACCATGTGCAGGTAGGTTTATTGTGTAAATACACCTATAGTCATCTCCACACCACCATGTGCAGGTAGGTTTATTGTGTAAATACACCTATAGTCATCTCCACACCACCATGTGCAGGTAGGTTTATTGTGTAAATACACCTGTAGTCATCTCCACACCACCGTGTGCAGGTAGGTTTATTGTGTAAATACACCTATAGTCATCTCCACACCACCATGTGCAGGTAGGTTTATTGTGTAAATACACCTATAGTCATCTCCACACCACCATGTGCAGGTAGGTTTATTGTGTAAATACACCTATAGTCATCTCCACACCACCATGTGCAGGTAGGTTTATTGTGTAAATACACCTGTAGTCATCTCCACACCACGATGTGCAGGTAGGTTTATTGTGTAAATACACCTATAGTCATCTCCACACCACCGTGTGCAGGTAGGTTTATTGTGTAAATACACCTATAGTCATCTCCACACCACCATGTGCAGGTAGGTTTATTGTGTAAATACACCTATAGTCATCTCCACACCACCTTGTGCAGGTAGGTTTATTGTGTAAATACACCTATAGTCATCTCCACACCACGATGTGCAGGTAGGTTTATTGTGTAAATACACCTATAGTCATCTCCACACCACCATGTGCAGGTAGGTTTATTGTGTAAATACACCTGTAGTCATCTCCACACCACCGTGTGCAGGTAGGTTTATTGTGTAAAATACACCTATAGTCATCTCCACACCACCGTGTGCAGGTAGGTTTATTGTGTAAATACACCTATAGTCATCTCCACACCACCATGTGCAGGTAGGTTTATTGTGTAAATACACCTGTAGTCATCTCCACACCACCAAGTGCAGGTAGGTTTATTGTGTAAATACACCTGTAGTCATCCCCACACCACAAAGTGCAGGTAGGTTTAATGTGTAAATACACCTGTAGTCATCTCCACACCACCATGTGCAGGTAGGTTTATTGTGTAAATACACCTGTAGTCATCTCCACACCACCGTATGCAGGTAGGTTTATTGTGTAAATACACCTATAGTCATCTCCACACCACCATGTGCAGGTAGGTTTATTGTGTAAATACACCTATAGTCATCTCCACACCACCTTGTGCAGGTAGGTTTATTGTGTAAATACACCTATAGTCATCTCCACACCACGATGTGCAGGTAGGTTTATTGTGTAAATACACCTATAGTCATCTCCACACCACCATGTGCAGGTAGGTTTATTGTGTAAATACACCTATAGTCATCTCCACACCACCGTGTGCAGGTAGGTTTATTGTGTAAATACACCTGTAGTCATCTCCACACCACCGTGTGCAGGTAGGTTTATTGTGTAAAATATACACCTATAGTCATCTCCACACCACCGTGTGCAGGTAGGTTTATTGTGTAAATACACCTATAGTCATCTCCACACCACCATGTGCAGGTAGGTTTATTGTGTAAATACACCTATAGTCATCTCCACACCACCATGTGCAGGTAGGTTTATTGTGTAAATACACCTGTAGTCATCTCCACACCACCAAGTGCAGGTAGGTTTATTGTGTAAATACACCTGTAGTCATCCCCACACCACCAAGTGCAGGTAGGTTTAATGTGTAAATACACCTGTAGTCATCTCCACACCACCATGTGCATGTAGGTTTATTGTGTAAATACACCTATAGTCATCTCCACACCACCATGTGCAGGTAGGTTTATTGTGTAAATACACCTATAGTCATCTCCACACCACCGTGTGCAGGTAGGTTTATTGTGTAAATACACCTATAGTCATCTCCACACCACCGTGTGCAGGTAGGTTTATTGTGTAATTATACCCCGCTTCCGGTCTCGTTGCCATGGTTTCCTTTGTTAAAAGTGTAGGTGTATTGACCGGTACACCTGTCAAAAGTGTAGGTGTATCAATGATACACCTACACTTTTTCACTAGGGTATACCGAAGCAATAAAGACACAACAAACGGCGAAATATAATTTTATTTCAATGGACTCACATTGAGATTTCGATTGTTTCAAAATCTTCCAGGTCGAAATGTGACGCTAACGAACTGTCAATTTGAGAAAGAAAATCCTCTGTCCACTCTTCAGCATCCCTTGCGAACGAACGTGTGATCTTCCAAATGTTTTCTATGCCACATGCGAGTCAGAGAACGCATGCGCATTGGTCTGCCCATACAAATGTCAATTATCAGTAATATTGCGCATATTTGGGGCTACTTGAAGTCATTCTCGCGCCCGAACTGGTGTTTAAAATCGTGGGAAATCGTGCAAGCCCGTGCATGCACGTGCAATCGACTGCTTATAGTCTGTTTGCAGTGAAAACGTACCGATGAATATCACTTTAAAAAAGTAAATCAAATAAAGTGAAACTAAGATAGAAAATGCCCATAATTTTACCTTGCCTATTGAACATTTAAATCTCAGAATTATATTCAGCTTAGGATAAAAGTTGTTTAACAAACGATCATAGTTTCAAAGCGCTGTTATTGGTTTGTATTACAATGGGGTATGCGCATTAAATGAAACACCCAGAACATGCAGGTTTGGTAGAAGTTAACGCTTGTTACGTACCGCACGGGCATTTGTTTCACTGTTCCAACTACTGCACTTACCCCCCTAAAATTGTAATACAAACCAATAATATTGATTTGAAACTATGATCATTTGTTAAACAAATTTTATTCTAAGTTGAATATAATTCTGAGATGTTCATTTGGCAAGGTCAAATTATGAGATTCGCAATCTTAATTTCACTTATTTGAGTACTTTTTTGTTTAAAGTGAAATTGATCGGTAGGTTTCACTGCAAACAGACTATAGACGCGGGACATTTGAGGGTCTTAACCAGTGGGCTAAAAATAACTGAAACAGATAGAAAAGAAATAAAAAAATTTGTCATAATTAGAACATAAAGTGTTATAATAAACTCGTAACTCGACCAGAAGTGAGGTATAAGTCAGATGTACCCACACTTCCTCGGTGTGTCGCCCAATACCCCTACTGTTTGAGTCGTGTGGTCTCCTCGGCTAACGCCTCGGAGGCCACACGACTCAAACAGTAGGGGTATTGAGCGGCACACCTCGGAAAGTGTGGGTATATCTAATACATACACCTCTAGTCATCTCCACACCACCATGTGCAGGTAGGTTTATTGTGTAAATACACCTATAGTCATCTCCACACCACCATGTGCAGGTAGGTTTATTGTGTAAATACACCTGTGGTCATCTCCACACCACGATGTGCAGGTAGGTTTATTGTGTAAATACACCTGTAGTCATCCCCACACCACCAAGTGCAGGTAGGTTTAATGTGTAAATACACCTGTAGTCATCTCCACACCACCATGTGCAGGTAGGTTTATTGTGTAAATACACCTGTAGTCATCTCCACACCACCGTGTGCAGGTAGGTTTATTGTGTAAATACACCTATAGTCATCTCCACACCACCGTGTGCAGGTAGGTTTATTGTGTAAATACACCTATAGTCATCTCCACACCACCGTATGCAGGTAGGTTTATTGTGTAAATACACCTATAGTCATCTCCACACCACCGTGTGCAGGTAGGTTTATTGTGTAAATACACCTATTGTCATCTCCACACCACCGTGTGCAGGTAGGTTTATTGTGTAAATACACCTATAGTCATCTCCACACCACCATGTGCAGGTAGGTTTATTGTGTAAATACACCTATAGTCATCTCCACACCACCGTATGCAGGTAGGTTTATTGTGTAAATACACCTATAGTCATCTCCACACCACGATGATAGATTCAGGAAAGATATTCAAAACGTATAATTATTTCTGATGACCACGTATGTTGCAGACCCAGGGTAGACGGGATGGTGAAGCTGTGGTCCGTATGGAGGATGCCAAGGCTATGTCGTCTCCATCGATACACCCTCCTGACCGGAGCACTTCTAGTAACGCTGGTCCTCACTAACATGCGTATTTCTGACGGTATGGCCTGATGCTGAGACGCATTGTCATTGGTTCTAGTGCTAAACCAGGGACGTCTCTCACCAACATTTATGTGAAGAATAATGTCATTTTGAGGCAATCCAAACAGCTGCACTCATTCTGTTTTCATGTACTGCATATACACAGTTAAGATATAAGTATATACAAAGTTACATAAATATGGCAGGTATTATTTTCTCGTTTCATTTTTTGATGGTGTGTTGAATTTGGAAATATCTTAAGTTTGACATTGAGTCCATACAATGAACAACACTGGAAGCAGCACTCAAGCAATACTTCTACCTGGTTGCATTTTCCACAATATGATTTGTCTAAGCATTGAAAAAGGAAAATTCTCATAATACACAGCTGCTGATGTCAGAAATCTACATTTGAAACATTGTAGGCGGCCCTGTCATTGGCTGGAGATAAGCGTGGTGGTGATACTGTAACTGTTATTATCCCAGATTGATAGTTTATTAAATCCCTGTGATAATATCTTTTTTAAAAACTTCATTTTTGCAAAATACCTAAACTGTGTGTGCTTTGTTTGTTTGATATTCTCAGCAAGCAATCGGAGTCACCTCAAATATCTGGCACACCAGACACAGATTTGCTGTAGGACAATACCTCCTGTGTAGTGCCGATAAGGGCTTGTTGTAAACCAACATGTTTATCTCAGTAAATGACGAGCAAGTTGATATTTACATGAGTGTAAATATAAGGTCACGGTATGAGAAAAATAGTTGGCAATAAAATGACAAATGTTCTGTTTATTACGTATTTTCTTCCCTAATATTTACGATGTTACTCTGTAAACCAAAGTGTTCCTTCATCAGGTGAATGGTAGGGAGTATACCTGATGAAGGAGCAAGCATACACTCCGAAACGTGTTATTCACAATAAATAAATTGGCATCCATAAATCTTGCTTTTCTTATGCATTCCACTTCTAACTGCCCTTCAAAGAATGTTTTCGGTGATTGTTACGTCATCCGAACCCTGATATAACTGAAATTCTTTTGAAAACACAAATATAACCCAAGGAACTCACTCACTACTGTGTTTCATGTACTTTCTCGACCACTGCTCTTCTTCTTACCTAATGCTTGTTTCTGGGTACTTACAGTCATGGATGCACGAGATGATAGGTCAGTTCATAGAAACGAATGGGCTCCATACGATCAAACGGCACGGCATCAAGACGTAAAGCATGGGCGACATGATCAGACTACAGCAGAGATACAGCAGCGCGTCAAACACCTACAGAACAGATGCAGATGGACGGAGGGAAATGAGGGGGTGCTGCGGAGGGTATATGTGAGTGAAGGAGCGAATCTGGCTTACTGCCCAGTAGCTAAAATAGGCACGACTTTCTGGAAGAGAGTGATCCTGTATTTGAACAATGACACGGGTTCAAACCACGTCCACAGTCCTTTTGAAATACCACGATCGTTTGTCCATTATGGGAATACAACAAACACCACGGTGCTGAAGAGGGGGCAGATCAGCGGGGCCAGTCTCAACAAGTACACTCGCATAATGTTTTCAAGGAACCCATATGCACGACTTTGGTCAGCTTATCTTGATAAATTGTATCTGCCAGATTTCTGGAAGAGACACGCTGGTAACATCATTAAAACACGACAAAATATTACCGAGGATGCTTTGAAATGCCATCATGATGTCACGTTCAGGGAGTTTCTGGAAAATGTTGTTTCGGGTTCCAAAATACGTAAAAACGAGCACTGGCAACCAATCAAGTATAGGTGTGACCCGTGTCAGTTCAAGCCAAACATAGTGGGGAAAATGGAGACGTTCAGTGATGACGCCAGGTTCATCCTAGAGGGAATTGGTCGTGAGTGGATGATGAAATCGTTTGACTACGATGCGTATGTACAGGAAGAACTCACTACTCTCATCGACTATAACTTTCAGTTGAGACTGGGAAGATTTAATCACCCGTGTTTAAATAAGACTGAACTCGTTAGACGACTATGGACTGTGTTCCAGTGGAATGGCTTCCTTCCGATGTCAACAGACGCTACATCAGTTATTGAACAGCTGACAAAACTGCCCAGTATCACCAGAAAGGTGTTTATAGGGTTTGTGTTAGACACGTATTTGTCGGCATCTAAGGCTGAGAGAAAGACGTGGAAGCATCAGAGACAGCAAGCACTGGTAGCTGCGTACAGACACATTCCCATGCCCGTGTTGAGATCTGTCATGGATCTGTTTAAGGAGGATTTTGAAGACTTTGGATATAGTAATATACCCCCTGGATTTGAGCTGGTTGCCCTGTAGTAGGATGTGTTGTTGTGGTATCGGCCAATACCTTCAATGGACGAGGTCGATCCAAGTCAGGGTCTGAGACGATGTAAACAAGTGCATGGCAGCCGCTGCTTGTGAACAATGTGCTCCTTGATCCATTGGGTATTGTTACCTTGAGGTCGACTTCATCAAAGAATGACTACTTCATTTTGACTTGTGTATGGCAACAGCTCGGGCATCACTGAAGTATTAGAATCAATCCAACTGTTTCAAGTTACAACAGTGACTGTAATGTTCATACCGGACACACTGGTCTGTTAGTTCCAATAAAGACGCTGTTTCGTTACCTAATTTATTATGGCACAACAATTTCATGTTAAATTGCTGTAATAGATATATTTGTATTTACTAATGAAAATAATATTAATCGGAAACTTCAGATATATGATGCTGTGTGTTATTTGTATGGTGTATATTTCCATGCTAGATAAAGACAGGAGTAGGCCGTCTCCTGTCGTGAATTGGTAGTGAGTGAGTGAGTTTTGGTTTTACGCCGCTTTTAGCAATATTCCAGCAATATCACGGCAGGGGACACCAGAAATGAGCTTCACACATTGTACCAATGTGGGGAATCGAACTCGGGTTTTCGGCGTGACGAGCGAACGCTTTAACCATCAGGCTACCCCACCGCCCCTGAATTGGTAGTATCAGTCAATACATGACACCGGCAAAATGCAGTAATCTTCACAGGTGTTATCAATGTATTAGGGATAACATGACTTTGATAGTTATCAATTTTAATACCTTAGAAGAAGCACATAAAAGCAGATAATTCCTCAGTTTCTCATGCATATATAGATTTCTTGACAACTATCTGCATTTTTTCAACCGTAATATTCCATGTCTGAACGTCACTGAAATGTTTCCAAGCTTTATTTATTTACTTCTTTACATTCCCTATAAAATGTTACTGATAGCCGGCATCCATTTTGATGAAACATCGTTAGCACTGTCCTTCAACGTGCAATAAACTATTTTTCCATTCATTTTTAAAGCTATTCAGACTTGTTTAATTTCCAAAACAGGCCCTACTAGCCATACCTGTACGATGAACTTACATCAACGAACTGCCTGGATACGGTGGCTGACTGATTATATCATATTTGTATCTACGTGTTCAACCTGATCATTACTATGGTAAACTGACGTGTCCCTCTTGAACACACTTTGTTATTTATTGATCACGATACAACCTGGCATTGCTTTAAACAACACTCAGTCACTCACTCGGCCTTAGTTACCGTATTATTTTCAGTTTTCTTTATTCGCTCACAGTGGTACTTGGAAACAGTACAATTCTTCATCAACGAGGAATAAAACTTACATACTTAGCATATTATAAATATGCATTTGACATATTTACTTTACTGACTAACTATTTTACTGTTACTTTCTGTAAAGAGATTGTGTAGTCATTAAACCTTAGGTTGACAACAGCAGTACTTAGGTAATAACATATTTCCATCTGGTAACCTTAGGTTGACAACAGCAGTACTTAGGTAATAACATATTTCCATCTGGTAACCTTAGGTTGACAACAGCAGTACTTAGGTAATAACATATTTCCATCTGGTAACCTTAGGTAGACAACAGCAGTACTTAGGTAATAACATATTTCCATCTGGTAACCTTAGGTTGACAACAGCAGTACTTAGGTAATAACATATTTCCATCTGGTAACCTTAGGTTGACAACAGCAGTACTTAGGTAATAACATATTTCCATCTGGTAACCTTAGGTAGACAACAGCAGTACTTAGGTAATAACATATTTCCATCTGGTAACCTTAGGTTGACAACAGCAGTACTTAGGTAATAACATATTTCCATCTGGTAACCTTAGGTAGACAACAGCAGTACTTAGGTAATAACATATTTCCATCTGGTAACCTTAGGTAGACAACAGCAGTACTTAGGTACTAACATATTTCCATCTGGTAACCTTAGGTTGACAACAGCAGTACTTAGGTACTAACATATTTCCATCTGGTAACCTTAGGTAGACAACAGCAGTACTTAGGTAATAACATATTTCCATCTGGTAACCTTAGGTTGACAACAGCAGTACTTAGGTAATAACATATTTCCATCTGGTAACCTTAGGTTGACAACAGCAGTACTTAGGTAATAACATATTTCCATCTGGTAACCTTAGGTTGACAACAGCAGTACGTAGGTAATAACATATTTCCATCTGGTAACCTTAGGTTGACAACAGCAGTACTTAGGTAATAACATATTTCCATCTGGTAACCTTAGGTAGACAACAGCAGTACTTAGGTAATAACATATTTCCATCTGGTAACCTTAGGTAGACAACAGCAGTACTTAGGTAATAACATATTTCCATCTGGTAACCTTAGGTAGACAACAGCAGTACTTAGGTAATAACATATTTCCATCTGGTAACCTTAGGTAGACAACAGCAGTACTTAGGTAATAACATATTTCCATCTGGTAACCTTAGGTTGACAACAGCAGTACTTAGGTAATAACATATTTCCATCTGGTAACCTTAGGTAGACAACAGCAGTACTTAGGTAATAACATATTTCCATCTGGTACTCAACACTTATACACTGCACCCGTTTTACATGTCAGACGTGTCATGGAATGGCGTATTATTCCAACGCTCTACTTCAACAGACCCTTGTATAGCTAGTTCTAAACTAGCATAAACAATACACCAATAACATAAGATTGATAATAATCAAAGGGAGCCGCCCTGTTTCTCCATAGAACTTACAAGCAGGGGTGCTTTTAAGCAAATGAAAATTCTTTATAACGCACATTCTATGTACTGATTCTTGTTTTCCAAGTTACCATGGCCCTATATTTCACATTACTCAAACATCCGTATGATCAAATGCCATAAATTAACAATCTGGTGGTAAATGTAAATTTCGTGTTTTTGCTAGTAACCAAAGCATTGCTTTCAAACCTTGATATTTTAGTCATTTAATAGCCAAATTATATTTGCTACTCTTATGAAATTTTAGCCCTAGATAACTATAGCTATGTAATGAGAGCCACGTACCGCATCGCACGATCAATTTGTCAGCTTAAATATTGAATATTTTAAACTAGGTCAGTTTACATCATGAACATGCAAGTCAGACATCGATGTACCTAACCAAACTGCCACAATTTGCACATTGATTCGGATGCTGTAACTTTGGATGCACTCATGCAGCGGCTGTTATTACAGTAACATAAAGCGGGTAAATATAGATGTTACTACATGTGGGTTTCAACACAACCATTCACACAGTGTTACATCATTTGACAAGAAGGTTTGTTCCAATGTAATTGTTCAGACTGACAAAGAAAACTAGCAGCGAGCTACCAATATATTGAATATGTATACATGTACACGTTAGGTATAAATACATACACAAATTAAAACAGACAAACTGACTGGTCTGCATCGTAATGATAAGACTCCGGCACAATGGGACCAAGCAGTGAATAGCGCAGATGCTTCCCTATTGAGGATGTAATGGTTTGGGTTGTATTGTTGCTGCAGATCATTGGACTATTTCTGTTGTATGGTGTGTATTTATGTCATGGTTTGGGCGTTCTCTGCTTGTTTTGTTTGGTAGCCTCGCTTGTGTTGGCTATGTCTCACAGATTATTCCCCGAGGAGAACAAAGGCCGATGCTCATCTCAGGGATTCACAAGAAGCACAGGACCAAGCAGGACCAAGGAAGACCAAGCAATACTATGCAGGACCATGCAAGACCGGGCAAGACCAATCGTGATCAGCTAAGACCATGCAAGACCAAGCACGACCATGCAAGACTAAGCACGACCAAGCAAGACCATGCAAGAAAATATACTAAATATACATTTGTCCCACACTTTTGACACACACTTGAGATAAGTCAAATTATTTTCAAAATAAGCATTCTAAACCATTTATTGCGTATTTAAGTGCATTATTGCCCGTTCAAGTCTGTGCCAATAACCTCTTTAGTATCAATAGGTGAGTGAGTGAGCTTAGTTTTCGCTGCTTTTAGCAATATTCCAGCAGTATCACGGCGGGGGACACCAGAAGTGGGCTTCACACATTGTAACCATGTGGGAAATAGATCCCGGGTCTTCCATGTGACGAGCGAATGCTTTAACCACTAGGCTACCCCACCACCCCGCAGTGGCAATAAATAAAATGACAATAACGTATGTGGTTGGTGGGTGTGGATATAGATCTGTTTTGTAAGTCAAGAGATTTGTTCAGTGGCCAGTTACCGAGTGTTCCACAGTGTCTACCCCAAATAGATGTGAGATATCATTACGCTCTGTTGAGTAAGTAAAGAGATTTGTTCAGTGGCCTGTTACCAACTGTTCCACAGTGTCTACCCCAAATAGATGTGAGATATCATTACGCTCTGATATGTAAGTCAAGAGATTTGTTCAGTGGCCTGTTACCGACTGTTCCACAGTGTCTACCCCAAATAGATGTCAGATATCATTACGCTCTGTTGAGTAAGTCAAGAGATTTGTTCAGTGGCCTGTTACCGACTGTTCCACAGTGTCTACCCCAAATAGATGTCAGATATCATTACGCTCTGTTGAGTAAGTCAAGAGATTTGTTCAGTGGCCTGTTACCGACTGTTCCACAGTGTCTACCCCAAATAGATGTCAGATATCATTACGCTCTGTTTAGTAAGTCAAGAGATTTGTTCAGTGGCCTGTTACCGACTGTTCCACAGTGTCTACCCCCAATAAGTTAAACACATATCATTACGCTCTGATATGTAAGTCAAGAGATTTGTTCAGTGGCCTGCTACCGACTGTTCCACAGTGTCTACCCCAAATAGATGTCAGATATCATTACGCTCTGTTGAGTAAGTCAAGAGATTTGTTCAGTGGCCTGTTACCGACTGTTCCACAGTGTCTACCCCAAATAGATGTCAGATATCATTACGCTCTGTTGAGTAAGTCAAGAGATTTGTTCAGTGGCCAGTTACCGACTGTTCCACAGTGTCTACCCCAAATAGATGTCAGATATCATTACACTCTGTTGAGTAAGTCAAGAGATTTGTTCAGGGGCCTGTTACCAACTGTTCCACAGTGTCTACCCCAAATAGATGTCAGATATCATTACGCTCTGATATGTAAGTCAAGAGATTTGTTCAGTGGCCTGTTACCGACTGTTCCACAGTGTCTACCCCAAATAGGTGACACATATCATTACGCTCTGATATGTAAGTCAAGAGATTTGTTCAGTGGCCTGTTACCGACTGTTCCACAGTGTCTACCCCAAATAGATGTCAGATATCATTACGCTCTGTTGAGTAAGTCAAAAGATTTGTTCAGTGGCCTGTTACCGACTGTTCCACAGTGTCTACCCCAAATAGATGTCAGATATCATTACGCTCTGATATGTAAGTCAAGAGATTTGTTCAGTGGCCTGTTACCGACTGTTCCACAGTGTCTACCCCAAATAGATGTGAGATATCATTACGCTCTGTTTAGTAAGTCAAGAGATTTGTTCAGTTGCCTGTTACCGACTGTTCCACAGTGTCTACCCCAAATAGGTGACACATATCATTACGCTCTGATATGAAAGTCAAGAGATTTGTTCAGTGGCCTGTTACCGACTGTTCCACAGTGTCTACCCCAAATAGATGTCAGATATCATTACGCTCTGTTTAGTAAGTCAAGAGATTTGTTCAGTGGCCTGTTGCCGACTGTTCCACAGTGTCTACCCCAAATAGATGTCAGATATCATTACGCTCTGAATAGTAAGTAAAGAGATTTGTTCAGTGGCCAGTTACCAACTGTTCCACAGTGTCTACCCCAAATAGGTGACACATATCATTACGCTCTGTTGAGTAAGTCAAGAGATTTGTTCAGTGGCCTGTTACCGACTGTTCCACAGTGTCTACCCCAAATAGATGTCAGATATCATTACGCTCTGTTGAGTAAGTCAAAAGATTTGTTCAGTGGCCTGTTACCGACTGTTCCACAGTGTCTACCCCAAATAGATGTCAGATATCATTACACTCTGTTGAGTAAGTCAAGAGATTTGTTCAGTGGCCTGTTACCGACTGTTCCACAGTGTCTACCCCAAATAGATGTGAGATATCATTACGCTCTGTTTTGTAAGTCAAGAGATTTGTTCAGTGACCTGTTACCAACTGTTCCACAGTGTCTACCCCAAATAGATGTCAGATATCATTACGCTCTGTTTTGTAAGTCAAGAGATTTGTTCAGTGGCCTGTTACCGACTGTTCCACTGTGTCTACCCTAAATAGGTGACAGATATCATTCCACTGTGTTTTACCCCAAAGATCCCCACTTCACACTACCACACTGCTGTAATAAACAGGAATCATAATGCCACAAAAACTGATATGTGATTTGACTTAAAACATTTTCCTCCAAATATTTGTATATCTGTATATTTGATCATGCAAATATCCATGTATTTTTCGTGCTGGAATCAATGAGAAAGTATAGAATTTTTACTGCCAACCCTGATCACAATGGCAGATAAAAAACCTTCTAGTGATCTAGGACCTCTCATATATTTACATCAATGTCTACAAACAACAACAGACAATGAGTTGATAGACAGTTTATTTCACCACAAAATGCACTATCAACACTTAGAATTAAACATAGATGACCATGCATCAACTGTCCAAACTGAGTATTGAAATATAGACAAAGCAGTAAGAAATACCACAGGGTGCCAACTCCAACGCTCACAATAACACACGCATAGGCACAGATATAATAATGTCAGTGATCCTAGTGGAAGGGAGATCACTGGTGGGGGGGACAAGGCACCGCAGACCTAAATACACATGTATAGATGACCAGTGTTTGCTCATGATGTATGAAATAATGACAGTGAGATTCCAATACATGTTTCAAAATGAATACAGTTAAAGCAAACAAACTGGAAAATATATGCATCACCCAAAATTAAGAAAAATGCTCATCACCAACATGAAGGGTTTACTCCTTCAAGATTACACTCACATTGATCTATTATGTCGATTTGTATATGTATAAGTATATGTTTTTGTAAATAGATTTTCAAAGTGAGCAAGTATATATACATGTACCGTATGTCTATCTTCATGCACATTGGCTCACTTGCCTGCATACTGACCATATATCAATATCAAAATGTACAAGTGTGATAAAATAAAGTATATAAACATAAATAAAATATTATGACTGTTATTTGCACATTGCCACTCATAACATAGACAAATGAAATGTCAGTTTTATCACAGTATCGCATGTCTGTATTGAGAGCCTCTCAGGATGCGGGAAACATGATGGCGAACGTCACATAGATCGGCTTCTGCAGACCCTCCATCTTGATCACCTGTATACAGAGTGAGTGAGTGAGTGAAACAGGTGAGAGAGGGCATTAGGTTTAACTCAGCTTCACATCTACAAATATTTACAGTAACATCAATATTTTGACAAGTGTTATTGTTGTTGTCACTTGTCAACATTACACTTGGCAGTACTCCAGCCATATAATGAAAATGTGTAAATAATCCAATCTTGATCAGACAATCAAGTGATTGATAGTCTGAACAACAATATCTCCCCTTTTGTTATTAACCCTTTCAACACCGCAGGCCGCTTAAGCGGCCACAACGTTATGAGTCCCCAGACACCGCAGGCCGCTTAAGCGGCCAGGCAGTAGTCACGTCAAAATCAGACATAATTTCAGGAACCTACCTGACTTATGATTCATATATTATATCTATCACATTTCACAATGTCTGAAAACACTTATTAAATTTCAATTTATCATATATTATCAGCAGAATTAAAATTATAAACTATTTTTCGCAATGTTATTGAAAACAACGATTCTCGGACACATGCTTCGGCAGCGGGTCCACAATAACGTTGTCAAAGAGCAAAGTAACGATGTTTCGAGGAATTCATTAAATAAATTGAATAAACTAATGAATAAAATCAACAATAGCATTCATAAAAGTTGTCAAACATACATATAAAATTACTATTTCCATCTTTTTGTGCGATCATGTAATGTAAGTCAAGTCACTGACAACTGACATCTCGGCTCTCGCCGCCTCAATCTTCACGCTTTCGGACACGCGATGTTTAATCTTGAAAATATGTACATGAAGCATTTTTGTCATAGGTCATAACCTAGCACGATCGTCCAATAGGTTCCATAATTTACGTCTATGTAGCGATTTCTTGCTTAATATGTTCAAAATAGCGTTATTTTACCCAAAACTTTCGTCTAAATCTGGAGATTTTCGTTTCACGAGGACGGTATCCATTGCCGTAATATGATTGGCTGCCTCATGTCACGCGTGTCTGATTTTGACCAATCGAGACCCTTAAAAGCAGACTGTAGCGAAAAGGCGTCATTAGAAACCAATTTTATCCAATAAAATCGCTTCTTACAACTGTGAAAATACTCGGCAAGGGTTCAGTGATGTTGTTGAGGTTCAGAGCTTTCGAGCGATACCGACATCAAGCGATTAAGCCTCCCATGTTTTCATCTGAAGCTTCAAAAACGGAGGTATTTTCCGTTGTTATGTCATGTTACCGGCGGAAAGCCACAGATATAGGGAAATAGGCTGACCATACATATTATTTAAGAAATCTTTTATAATAATTTTTCTGATTACGTAAAAATGAAAATATGAAAGAAAAGGCACGGACATGTTATGACATGTCACAAATTGAAAATAATCGCCATAGTTTTTGCTTCCTTCGTGGTTTATCGGGAGGTTATAAATGTAAGCTTGCATTTTCATTAAAAAATTATTTTATTTAAGTTGTAGTTGTATTATTTGAATAATATTATAAAAATAAACGTCATATTTATCAACAGAAGGATTAGATCTTTTAAATGGTGTATGGGATGTAGTAGCAATAACGTTTTACAAGCTTATAATTTCCTTCATAAACATAGGCTTCATCTATGACCTCAGAGTCTCTGGGAACTCGGTGTCATGGCACTAAATGCCTCTGGTTGACTGGTGTTGAAAGAGTTAAACATGCACTCAACCAAATCACTAGGCCTGCCCAGCCCTTTTGTTTGGTCACCTCTAACAATCAAAATGACATAAGTATCACATTACGATCAAAATTCCCAAGTTCCGATACATAATAAAGTCACACACTACCCAATAAACAACTGACTGACTGAGTTTTGGTTTTACGCCGCTGTTAGCAATATTCCAGCAACATCACGGCGGGGGACACCAGAAATGGGCTTCACACATTGTACCCATGTGGGGATTCGAACCCGGGTCTTCGGCGTGACGAGCCAACGCTTTAACCACTAGGCTACCCCAACGCCCCTACACAATAAACAAGAAAATCTTGAAAAACATTCACAAAGACTCACTTAATAACACTCAAAGGAAGCTCTTTTTGAAGAACACAAATCCCATAAATATCTCTTCCTTGGCCAGCGGTTGAGACACTATTTTAAGAATCCATGTTCTATCAGACATAAAACCAGCACCCACCTCACTCTTGCTTGTCTTCTCCCCGAGACCAAACTTGTGTGTGAGTAGCCCCGTGGTGGTGAGCTGGTTCTCCCCACCCTGGCGGTACTGCACTGTGATACAATAGCGCACCTCACGGTCAGGCCGCATGGAAAACGTGTGTCTCTCACACTGGCGGAAACTCAGGATAGGATCACCTGGACGGAGGCGCTGGGAAGCAGCATGAGAGCAGAACGATCGTGTCAGAGTGAAAGTAAGTCCATATTCGTGAAGAATTTGTTTATAGAAGTATTTTCAGAATGATCATCAACTGCTCATGTTACCCCATTCTGATGTCCAGATTACACAATGTCATAACTACTAGATATGTACACTCTACAGAGAGATATATACTACTCAAAGAATAGAAGACATGATATTAGAAGCATGAGCTGTGGAGAGTAGAGCCCAACAAAGGGAGATAACCAGGAAAAGATGCACTGTACAACTCCACACTGGTATACTACACTGGTTCTAACGAAAGTTCAAACTCAAATGGACCACTTACTTTAGTTCATCATAACCATACTATAGCTACTAACATGCATTTAGTAATATAGATGTACATGTACTCTGTGCCAGGACCAGCAAATACCCCCTCCCGGAAACGGTTTGTAAACCTGTCAGTGTTTTTAAGCATGTACATTATAAACATAGTTCACTATACAAGTGATCCCGGTTCTGTTACCTGCATGTAGAAGACATATGTTCCTGCTGTGCTCTGGCGAACAGCCTTCAGTTCAAAATGAAAGCCGTGGAGAGAGAGGATCTCAGAGTGGTAATGAGGCTCCTGTGTTCAGAGTAGAAGATTGTTTATAGGTTGACAGTTGTCAAAAGTATTAGTTGGACAAAACTACCTGTACATTGTCCAATATAGATATCAAGCCAAATTTTAAAACTGTACTCATGGATTATTATCAATACATGTCGATAGATAAAATTCTTACAGGACAGCTAACACACATGATCCCTGGGCATGAGGGGGGATTACTCACATCATCCACAATGAAGCCCTGTCTCACAGCTGATGTGTTGAAGTTCTTCAGGGAAGACATGTCTCCACCACCCTGTAGCTGCAGCAGACATTCATTGAGAGTAATGTCATTACTTATCACTAGCAAGTGTAGGTACAGCAATACCATCACTATAGTATGTGTCTACAGCAATACCATCACTATAGTATGTCTCTACAACAATACCATCACTATAGTATGTGTCTACAGCAATACCATCACTATAGTGTGTGTCTACAGCAATACCATCACTATAGTGGGTGTCTACAGCAATACCATCACTATAGTGTGTGTCTACAGCAATACCATCACTATAGTATGTGTCTACAGCAATACCATCACTATAGTATGTCTCTACAACAATACCATCACTATAGTATGTGTCTACAGCAATACCATCACTATAGTGAGTGTCTACAGCAATACCATCACTATAGTATGTGTCTACAGCAATACCATCACTATAGTATGTGTCTACAGCAATACCATCACTATAGTATGTCTCTACAACAATACCATCACTATAGTGGGTGTCTACAGCAATACCATCACTATAGTATGTGTCTACAACAATTCCATCACTATAGTTTGTGTCTACAGCATTACCATCACTATAGTGTGTCTCTACAGCAATACCATCACTATAGTATGTGTCTACAGCAATACCATCACTATGTGTGTGTCACTGTCTACAGCAATACCATCACTATAGTGTGTCTACCATCACTATATACATCAATACCACTCACTATACTATAGTGTGTGTCTACAGTAATATCATCACTATAGTGTGTCACTAGCAATACCATAAATGGTACCACAGTACTATATCACTATAGTGGGTGTCTACAGCAATACCATCACTAAAGTGGGTGTCTATAGTAATATCATCACTATAGTATGTGTCTACAGCAATACCATCACTATAGTGAGTGTCTACAGCAATACCATTACTATAGTATGTGTCTACAGCAACACCATCACTATAGTGTGTCTCTACAGCAATACCACCACTATAGTATGTGTCTACAGCAATACCATCACTATAGTGAGTGTCTACAGCAATACCATCACTATAGTATGTGTCTACAGCAATACCACCACTATAGTGAGTCTACAGCAATACCATCACTATAGTATGAGTCTCCAGTAATATCATCACTATAGTGTGTCTCTACAGCAATACCATCACTATAGTTTGTGTCTACAGCAATACCATCACTATAGTGTGTCTCTACAGCAATATCAGCACTATAGTGTGTCTCTACAGCAATACCATCACTATAGTGTGTCTCTACAGCAATACCATCACTACAGTGCCTCGTTACAGCAATACCATCACTATAGTATGTGTCTACAGCAATACAATCACTGTAGTGTGACTCTACAGCAATACCATCACTATACTATTATCTACAGCAATTCCATCACTATAGTGTGTGTCTACAGCAATACCATTACTATAGTATGTGTCTACAACACTACCATCACTATAGTATGTGTCTACAGTAATATCATCACTATAGTGTGTCACTACAGCAACACCATCACTATAGTGTGTGTCTACAGCAATACCATCACTATAGAGTGTGTCTACAGCAATACCATCACTAAAGTATGTGTCTACAGCAATACCATCACTACAGTATGTGTCTACAGCAATACCATCACTATAGTGTGTGTCAACAGCAATACCATCACTATAGTGTGTGTACAGCAATAATATCATCACTATAGTTTGTGTCTACAGCAATACCATCACTATAGTATGTGTCTACAGCAATACCATCACTATAGTATGTGTCTACAGCAATACCATCACTATAGTTTGTGTCTACAGCAATACCATCACTATAGTATGTGTCTAAAGCAATACCATCACTGTAGTGTGTGTCTACAGCAACATCATCACTATAGTGGGCTTAAAGTAATATCATCACTATAGTATGTGTCTACAGCAATACCATCACTGTAGTGTGTGTCTACAGCAATACCATCACTATAGTGTGTGTCTATAGTAATATCATCACTACAGTATGTGTCTACAGCAATATCATCACTATAGTATGTGTCTACAGCAATACCATCACTATAGTTTGTGCCTACAACAATACCATCACTATAGTGGGTGCCTATAGTAATATCATCACTGTAGTATGTGTGTACAGCAATACCATCACTATAGTGAGTGCCTAAAGTAATATCATCACTATAGCGTGTGTCTACAGCAATACCATCACTGTAGTGGGTGCCTATAGTAATATCATTACTAAAGTGTGTGTCTACAGCAATTACCATCACTATAGTGTGTGTCTACAGCAATACCATCACTATAGTGTGTGCCTATAGTAATATCATTACTATAGTGTGTGTCTACAGCAATATCATCACTATAGTGTGTGTCTAAAGTAATATCATTACTATAGTATGTGTCTACAGCAATATCATCACTATAGTGGGTGCCTATAGTAATATCATCACTATAGTGTGTGCCTAAAGTAATATCATCACTATAGTGTCTGGCTTCAGTAATATCATCACTGTAGTGTGTGTCTACAGCAATACCAAAACTATAGTGTGTGTCTACAGCAATACCATCACTATAGTGTGTGTCTACAGCAATATCATCACTATAGTGTGTGGATTCAGTAATATCACCACTATAGTATGTGTCTACACCAATACCATCACTATAGTGTGTGCCTACAACAATACCATCACTATAGTGGGTGCCTGTAGTAATATCATCACTATAGTATGTGTGTACAGCAATACCATCACTATAGTGTGTGCCTAAAGTAATATCACTATAGTGTGTGTCTACAGCAATACCATCACTATAGTATGTGTCTACAGCAATACCATCACTATAGTGTGTGTCTACAGCAATACCATCACTATAGTATGTGTCTACAGCAATACCATCACTATAGTGTGTGTCTACAGCAATACCATCACTATAGTATGTGTCTACAGCAATACCATCACTATAGTGTGTGTCTACAGCAATACCATCACTATAGTATGTGTCTACAGTAATATCATCACTATAGTGTGTCTCTACAGCAATACCATCACTATAGTATGTGTCTACAGCAATATCATCACTATAGTGTGTGTCTACAGCAATACCATCACTATAGTGTGTGTCTACAGCAATACCATCACTATAGTGTGTGTCTACAGCAATACCATCACTATAGTATGTGTCTACAGCAATACCATCACTATAGTGTGTGTCTACAGCAATACCATCACTATAGTGTGTGTCTACAGCAATACCATCACTATAGTATGTGTCTACAGCAATACCATCACTATAGTGTGTGTCTACAGCAATACCATCACTATAGTATGTGTCTACAGCAATACCATCACTATAGTGTGTGTCTATAGTGTGTGTCTACAGCAATACCATCACTATAGTATGTGTCTACAGCAATACCATCACTGTAGTGTGTGTCTACAGCAATACCATCACTATAGTGTGTGTCTACAGCAATATCATCACTATAGTATGTGTCTACAGCAATACCATCACTATAGTGTGTGTCTACAGCAATACCATCACTATAGTGTGTGTCTATAGTAATATCATCACTATGGTATGTGTCTCACAGTGTGTGTCAATAATACCATCACTATAGTATGTGTCTACAGCAATACCATCACTATAGTGTGTGCCTACAACAATACCATCACTATAGTGGGTGCCTATAGTAATATCATCACTATAGTATGTGTGTACAGCAATACCATCACTATAGTGTGTGCCTAAAGTAATATCATCACTATAGTGTGTGTCTACAGCAATACCATCACTGTAGTGTGTGCCTATAGTAATATCATTACTAAAGTGTGTGTCTACAGCAATACCATCACTATAGTGTGTGTCTACAGCAATACCATCACTATAGTGTGTGTCTATAGTAATATCATCACTATAGTGTGTGTCTACAGCAATATCATCACTATAGTGTGTGTCTACAGCAATATCATCACTATAGTATGTGTCTACAGCAATACCATCACTATAGTGGGTGCCTATAGTAATATCATCACTATAGTGTGTGCCTAAAGTAATATCATCACTATAGTGTGTGGCTTCAGTAATATCATCACTGTAGTGTGTGTCTACAGCAATACCATCATCACTATAGTGGGTGCCTATAGTAATATCATCACTATAGTGTGTGTCTACAGCAATACCATCACTATAGTGTGTGTCTACAGCAATACCATCACTATAGTGTGTGTACTACTATAGTAATAGTAATATCATCACTATAGTGTGTGTCTACAGCAATATCATCACTATAGTGTGTGTCTACAGCAATATCATCACTATAGTGTGTGTCTACAGCAATACCATCACTATAGTGGGTGCCTATAGTAATATCATCACTATAGTGTGTGCCTAAAGTAATATCATCACTATAGTGTGTGTCTACAGTAATATATCACTATAGTGTGTGTCTGCATCAATACCATCAGTGTGTGTCTCTACAGCAATACCATCACTATAGTGTGTGTCTACAGCAATACCATCACTATAGTGTGTGTCTACAGCAATATCATCACTATAGTGTGTGTCTACAGCAATACCATCACTATAGTGTGTGTCTACAGCAATACCATCACTATAGTGTGTGTCTACAGCAATACCATCACTATAGTGTGTGCCTACAGCAATATATAGTGGTGTCATACCATCACTATAGTGTGTGTCTACAGCAATACCATCACTATAGTGTGTGTCTACAGCAATACCATCACTATAGTGTGTGTCTACAGCAATACCATCACTATAGTGTGTGTCTACAGCAATACCATCACTATAGTGTGTGTCTACAGCATCTATCACTATAGTGTGTGTCTACAGCAATACCATCACTATAGTATGTGTCTACAACAATACCATCACTATAGTCGGTGTCTACAGCAATACCATCACTATAGTGTGTGTCTACAGCAATACCATCACTATAGTATGTGTCTACAGCAATACCATCACTATAGTGTGTGTCTACAGCAATACCATCACTATAGTGTGT